CCTTTTTTGGTGCAAGTTTGTCTTTTAGAAGTGCTCTGAAACTTCATTTCAGTCCAGCCACGAAGCTGGTCATCACCAGTTGTATAAAATCCACATTCATCTCTTGTTACCATCCAATCAATAAGTGGTTTGTTGTTGTGTAGACTAAGAGAAGACAATACTTCAAAAAGACTATTATTATTATTATTATTTGGAGAGGTTTTCCCTTTAGGGCGCTTGCGCTCGCCAGACAGACAGAGACAAAGAGACAGAAAGTGAGAAATCACCCCCAGGGGGGATGGTCACGCCACAATCCCTTCTCTTCCATTCTCCTCTTGGGATCTTGGGCACGCACGCACACGTGCCCGGTGTGAGTTTTAAGCCACCGGGTCCGGGACGTGAACCACGGTTGACTACGTGGGAGTCCAGTGACATAGCCATTACACTAACTGCTGGGTCCCATCAAAAAGACAATTATTTAAAAAAATTTCTGATCAGCTCATGAGGCACCAACTTATTGAATTTTTTTTCACCTTCCTAATTTGCTTCAAATACCAAACAATGCCGAAAGGTAGACATTGAGTTCTTCAGCAACTTCTTGCACAGTTGTAGGAGGATCAGCTTCGATGATTGCTCTCAGTTGGTCGTTGTCGACTTCCGATAGCTGGTCTAACACCATTTCCACGGTTTGCACATCTATGCGACCGAGGGCTTCAGCCTGGGCGTATTTCTGCTTGAGAGCGGCAGTCCATCCCACTGCATGACCGACATGCACGGCATGCTGAAGGTGCCCTGCGGCACGGTGCACATCAGTTGCATAGACAAGCTGGAGACCAGTGGCGGGCCTAAATTTATTTCTTTAATGAAAAAGAGACCCCTTCACACTACAGGCCACTTCTAGCCTCAGCTGGTGTGTGTGCCGGGCATGTACTGGGGTGCCGGGCGTGCACATGATGCTCCCACATGGCTTCAGTGCCACTGCGTGCTGGTAACCCCATACCTCTCGGCTGGCCTGTTTTCCTGACAGGCCTTTGAGGCAGAGATACTGTTAGCCACACTGGTGAAATAGGGCAGGGAGGGCCCAGGAAGGTACACAAGTTGGCTGTGGCCACTCGGAGGAGCAGGAGGGGCTAGAATGCAGGTTCCTTGGCCCAGCAGGTTGCTCCACCACACGTACTGTGCTGTGTCGTGTGTAAGGAAGTGTTTCTGAACCTTTATTTTTTTCTTTTTTGCTAAAGAGTGTGTACATTGACCAGAGAGGGAGAGGAGGAAGCACCCTCTATGGAGAGTGGTCAGTCTGCAATCCTTTCTCCTCCATCTCTGCCTCCATTTGGGATTTGGGGCGTGCACTCACAGGAACCTCACACGAGAACCCCGTGTTTCCCAGGCTGCCAGGTCCAGGATCCCAACCATGCGGTTGGCCATGATCCAGCCGCGTTCACCACATCACTGTTCGCTAACGCTGGTTTCTGCACAACTTCGATCAGCTTTCAGTAACTGTCTTCTCTGACCCCAGGAATACTTTCCTTTTAGTTTTTGCTGTGGGGCACTCACTGCTGGAGCAGAGATGGGGGGCTGCGAGACCACGCTGCCCCTGCCACAGGCCCTTTTCGTTCTCCTCCTGGGCCCCGGCATGCTCGCAGTGCTGGCCGTGTGGACCCAGTGCCTTAGCTGCCACACCACTGCTGACCTGAAGTCCCTCGCTATCCTTGACGGTGTTAGAAGATTATCACGTTTATGGTGGTTTTTCATTGCCAGCACTTCTGAAGGTCCCTGACTGGTGATTTGGCCAGGGCAGGCGTGTCGCACGGACACACTTGGAGAACTGTCGCAGGTCCAGCTCTGTCCTGCTTATGAGTTACACACCCATATCGTGTGCATCCTGGGTCAGACGCTGCTGTGAAGTTTGAGGTCCCCCTCCGTGATGAAAGTTAGAGGGTGGGGAGTGTGCATGCGCTACAGAGGGAGGGCGGGAGAGGGCTTCTAGAAAACCAGTAAGTGGAGGTCTCCGAGATGAGAATGACTGCGTCCAGGCAGAAGGTCCAGGAGGTGGCCTGCCACATGGACGGTCTTCGGAGCTGGAGGGCATTGCCCTCGGGCTGTGGTCTGTCTTCATACGAGTCAGGAAGTAGCAGAGAGTGATAGGAAATTTTTTTTTTTTTAATAATAATTTCATTTGTTATTACTATTTTTTAAATAATTATTTTTTATTTAACTTTATTATTATTATTTTTCCAGTTTAAACAGAGAGAGAAGAATAATGAGAAAGCAAGCCACCAGGTCTGGGACTTGAACCATGGTTGGCCACGTGGGAGTCCAGCACCTTGAATCACCACTTCACCTTCCAACCCCTTTATTTGTTATTATTTTAAAAAATTTGACCAGAGGGAGAGACAGAGAGAGAGGGAAAGTGAGAAAGTGTATCGCCAGATCTGGGATTCAAAGCACGGTCAGCCATGTGGGAGTCCAGGGCCTTAGCCATCACACCACCTGCCGGCCCCTGTGGTATTTGTTTAGTACAAGAAAATGCTAATTCATTTAGCAGTAATTTTCTTGTATTCCTGGATGTTCCAAATCTAGTGACCACTGGCACTGTGGTTTTGGGGCAAAGGCACTGTGCCATTTGCTTTTTCAAGTTTATTTTTTCCATGAGCGAGAGAAACAGCAACCCTAGCAGGGTCTCGGAGCCACCGCCCACCTGCCGCAGCCAGGCCCAGGGCACCGGCAGCTGTGAGCCCTGCTGCTCAGGAGGTCTCTGAGCTTCACGCAGCATCTTGCCGTGTGGGCCGTGTGGGTTGGCGGCAGAGGGCTCGGGCCACCGTCTGGCACCGTGCTGTCTGTCTGTTAAGAGCGTCATTGCTCTTTTCTTGAGCTGCTGTTATTTCCTTTTGATTGTCTCAGAAACTGGGGACATGGTTTGTAAAGGCCAGGTAAGACGGAGACAGGGGAGGGCAGCCTGCGAGGTCCCCTTACTCTTTTTTATTTTTGGAGAGGTGTTTTTGCTATAGGGCGCGTGCGCTCGCCAGACAGACAGAGACAGAAAGCGAGAAATCACCCCCCAGCGGGGATGGTCACACTGCAATCCCTTCTCCTCCATTCTCCTCTCGGGATCTTGGGCACGCACGCACACGCGCCCTGCATGAGTTTTAAGCCACCGGGTTCGGGACGCGAACTGCGGTCAACTATGTGGGAGTCCAGCGACATAGCCATTACGCTAACTGCTGGTTCCCAGAGGTCCCCTTACTCGTACACATGAAGGTACGTGAAGAGTTAGTGTGTCTTTCAGACAGCTGTGTAGAATTGGCCAGAGAGGTGCAGATGGGAAGTCAGACCTTGGCAATGTGACCTTGGTGAGGCGTGCTCGGGCCTTACACTTCCTCAGAAAGGAAGGTAGTAGGTACACTAGACTCCTTGAGTGTATTTCTGCTCCAAGATTTTAACAATTATCTATTTAATTTTTTGGAGAGGTTTTTGCTGTAGGGCGCTTGCACTTGCCAGAAATACAAGAGACAAACAGAGAGACAGAAAGTGAGAAATCACCCCCCAGGGGGGATGGCCATGCCGCAATCCCTTCTCCCCTTGGGATCATCTTGGGTGTGCACGCAGACGCGCCCAGCATGAGTTTAAGCTACCGGGTCTGGGACTCGAATCATGGTCAACTACATGGGAGTCCAGTGATATAGCCATTATGCCAACTGCTGGTCCTAGCTCTGGGACTTTTTAGTGGGGAGATGGGGAATCATCCATTGAAGATAAAATAATGGAGAGGTCAGCAGGGGGCATGGTGGTTGAGGTTCTGAATCCCACATGACCCGCTCTTTGGTTTAAGTCCCAGACACAGTGCCTTAAAAAAAAAACATGCTGGGTGCATGTGCATGCTTGTCCAAAATCTCAAGAGGAGAGTGGAAGAGGGGGTTGTAGTGTTGCCATCCCTCCTGGGGTGGTGATTTCTCATTTCCCACCTCCTGCTCTTTTTCTCTGTTGTGAGTGCAATGGCAAAGGTGTAAAAAAATAATAATAGAGCATCTTTCTTTTTTAAAAGAATAATTATTTGATTTACTTTTATTTATTTATTTTAATTTGACCAGAGAGGGAAAGTGAGAAAGCAAGCTGCCAGGTCTGGGACTCGAACTATAGTTAGCTGTGTGGGAATCCAGCACCCTTATCCACCATTCCATCAACTGGCCCTCTTTCTTTTTAAAAAATCTGATTTACTGAAAAACTGTGAAGGTCTGGGGCCAGCATGTAGCATGGTGGTTAAGTCACTAGACTCCTACATAGTTGAAAGCGATTCGAGTTCTGGACCTGGCGGTTTGAAAACCACATGGGTTCGTGTCTGTGCATGCCCAAAATCCCAGAGGAAAGTGGAGAAGAGATTGCGGTGTGACCATCTTCCTTTGGAGGTGATTTCATTTTCCCTGACACTGTCCGGGCTGGCACATGTGCCCTATGGCAGAAATGTTGAAGAAAATGCTGCAGAAGTAGCCCAGGGGGTGCCTGCATCCCTCACATCCGGTGTTCTCCTGGGGCTAACTTGGACTGGTGTGGTGCATCCCTTACTTCATGAACCACCTCTGAAACCCAGTGGGCACTGTTTGTAACTGAGGCTCCATATAGAGTCCAGTCTTGCACCTCTTCCAACCCAGGGTGCCATGCTGCATCTGGTTACCCTGTCTCCTCAGGGTCTACCCTTGGTCATCTGGTTACCCTGTTTCGTCAGGGTCTACTCTTCGTCATCTAGTTACCCTGTCTCCTCACGCGCTTCTTTCGGAGCAGGGAATGAAGCGCGGGCAGCAGAGAGGTGACCGTTGTGACGTGGGTCTCGGCCGTCGGTTTAGGGAGGCCGGTGCAGGAGGGTGCAGGGCTGTCTGGGCCAGGTGAGTGGGGGCTTCCCAGCAGCACCACCTGGCTCCTGAGGGGCAGAGTCCGACTGCTCATTGTAGGGTAGAGTTTAGCAGGCAGGTCTGAGTTTCGGACGCCGAGTCTGTCCCATAGGGTGTAGGACCTCTTCAGAGAGGAAGCGGGGTGTGATCACGCCAGTACAGGGGTCCTGACGGTGCCAGCAAGGCCGGGGAGCCTGGGCGTGGCCATCTTCCTTTGGAGGTGATTTCATTTTCCCTGACACTGTCTGTCCAGGCTGGCACATGTGAATAACATACTTCCTTTCCTTAAAGGATTATTTATTTAATTTAATTATTTTTCTTATTTTTTTATTTGCTAGAGGGCATGTGTGTTCACCAGAGAAAGCGTGAGAAATCCAGCTGCCAGGTCGGGAACGCCAGCTTGGTTGGCTCTCTGGGGTCCAGTGCCTGGCCCACCGCGCCGCCTGCCTGCCCTGGCTGGCGTACTTCCGTGCTGCCTGTCCTCAGCTGACTGTGCCCTTAGCTCTGCTTCTCAGGGTCACGTCCTGATTGTCCTGTTGCGACCTCGCAAGGAGCTGAGACCCCCGGCCTGTGCCCCTGAGGCAGCTTTCTTGGTGAGGCCACCAGCGTGGCCTCCACTGCCAGCCCTGGAGCCGACTGGCCTGTTCCTTCCATCAGTAGTCCTTGGAGAGGCCCATTGCTGCCAGTGGTAGTCTAATAGTCTCGCCGTGTTTAGAGGGTCAGAGATCGAAGGAGCTGGTCCTTGGTTTAATATTTGTTTTGGATCTTAAAACACTACTTTGAAAACATGCCTACATCTGATGGCCCTTGAGCAGTAGCAGCACATTCGTTGGTGTTAAGTCTTCAGTGTGGGAAGCGATGCGTCTCGTCCCGTTGTGATTTGTGATTGGTACTCACCGTCAGTTGGTGAGTGAACGAGCTTCTGTCCGTTGTAGAGAGCTTTACAGGTGCAAGGGGCTAGCGGGAAATTGTATTTGGTTACTCTAGATCTCTGTAGCCAATCTGATATTCTATGTGGGATAGTTACATTTTTTTTTTTTTTTTGAGAGAGATTTTCACTGTAGGGCGCGTGCTCTCGCCAGACAGACAAAGAGAGACATAGAGACAGAAAGCGAGAAATCACCCCCCAGGGGGGATGGTCACGCTGCAATCCCTTCTCCTCCATTCTCCTCTCTGGATCTTGGGCACGCACGCACACGCGCCCGGCGTGAGTTTTAAGCCACCGGGTCCGGGACGTGAACCACGGTCGACTACGTGGGAGTCCAGCGACATAGCCATTACACTAACTGCTGGTTCCCGCATATGTTTGAGTTTTATTTTGCAATTTTTTTGAAATAGAGTCTTTTAATTAAGTGATTAATTTAGGAAATCCCTTAATCTCTCTGGGCTCTTTTTTCTTACCTATAAAATGAACTACAGTAGGGACCAGCAAATGGCGTAATGGTTATGTCACTAGGCTCCCAGATGGCCGAGTCCTGGACCTAGAGACTTGAAATCCCACTGGGTGTGTATGCGTGCATACTCAAAATCTTGAGAGGAGAATGGAGAAGGGATTACAGTGCAGCCATCTCTCCTGGGGGGTGATTTCTATCTCTGTGTCTCTCCAGCAAGTGCATGTGCCCTATAGCAAAAATGTTTCTAAGATTAAAAACAAAGTGAAATAAAGTGAACTGCAGTGAAGTTCTTTTTGCTGATTTGGAAGCCGTAGTTTTAGTGAGAGGACAGTGACGCCGGGGCGTGTAAAGCCCCAGACACTCACTGACCGTGCTGTCTTCCACGTAGGTCATGGGGCGGGAGTGGCTGCTGTGTGTGTTACTCGTCCTTGGAACGGCCCTCATCCAGGCTCACGAGGGGCAGGAAGATGATATGGTCGACATCGAGGACGACCTTGATGACGTCATTGAGGAGGTGGAAGACTCAAGACCCAAACCAGATGCCAGCTCTCCTCCCCCATCTCCAAAGGTTCGAAGTGGTCTCTGACTCCGTCTCCTTTACCTCTTGGGATGATCAAGCTGGTGCCTGGGTCCTCCCACAGGGAAAGCAGTTCTCAGACGTGTCTCCCCGCCAGGGCCTCTGCTCTCCCCGGCCAGAGGCCAGTTGTGTGGGCTGAATGACAGGCTAGTGCGAGGGACATTGGTGGGGACTGAGAGCGAGACAGATTCTGCTGAGGGGGGATGCTGCTGAGACTTGGCTCTAACCCAGCTTCGTGTGTGATCCAGGTTACCTACAAAGCCCCAGTCCCGACGGGGGACGTGTACTTCGCAGACTCCTTCGACAGAGGGACCCTGTCGGGGTAAGCGTGTACCCGAACGAAGGTCTCACAGGCGGGCGTGTCAGCGAGCGGCCATGGCGGGTTCCTTTAAGGGCACATTCTGTGCAATGAACGGCCTTCTGGAACGGAGAGGCTCGCTTCTGCCCCCTGCCCAGCTGCGCCCTGTGTAAGGACTTCCAAAAGTCTGTGGGAATGGAAGCTAAGCACGTTTACTTTGCTGCAGGAAGTGATTGAAGTCTATGCAGTTTCTTTATAACACACATTTTGTTTTTTGTTTTTATTTATTTTTGCCATAGGGCAAGTGTGTGGTGGGGCCAGGGGAGTGAGGAGCGACCTCCGGTGGGGATAGACACTCGGTCCCTCACATTTTCCTCTAGGGGGCTTGGGCGTGCTCACACGCTACGCATGTCTTCCAGGCTGCCAGGTCCGGGATTCAAACCACGCGCTTGGCCATGCAGGACCCAGCCTCCTTGACCACCACACCACTGGCTCGCCCAGGCATATGCATTTTCCATGAACTTTTTAAACGTTTATTGTTTCCGTGAGAGAGGCAGAGAACTGGGGAGAGAGGGGCACCCAGCAGGTGCCCATGCACAGTCTGTCCCCGCCTCAGTCGGCCTGGGCCTGGCAGGTGCGTGCCCAGCATGCCCGGGGATCCTAGGCCAAGAGCCCGGCCCCCCCATGGGGTCCAGCGGGCCGGTGCACCCTCCCCACCAGGAACGTGCAGCCGTGGTGCGGCCTGACGCCTCTGCCCTGCCGTGAGCTTTCTGAATGCCCTTCGTACGTCCTTGCAGTCTAATGGTCTCCGCCCCTTTCCGTTAGATAGGCTGTGAGGCGCATGTGCTGTGTAAGCACTGCTGGGGACAGAGTCAGGTCCGAAGTAGGGTGGTTCATAGGCTAAGGGGAGCAGGGCAGATCTTGCTAGAAATATTTACATTATTTCTCTCACAGGTCAACAACCATCATTTGAATCTTAACTTTGGGGTTTGTCTTAATTACAGGTGGATCTTATCCAAAGCCAAGAAAGATGACACCGATGATGAAATTGCCAAATACGATGGTGAGACGCCGTCAGTGTTAGACACATAGTGGACGGCCCTGGCACCTCCTAGGTCTAGTTTCAAAGGCGATACAAGTTGTAGGATTTTTCTTTGGAAGTTTTGCCAGCTCTGTGTGGTGGGGCACTTAATATGGAACTTAAAGCCATGTTGGAAGGGGGTGGTCATCCTAGGCAGTGATGCAATGAATATGCTACGGTTTTTCAACAACTCCAGCTGATGTCGGTCCGCTAAACGTGTGTTCAGCACTTAATAGAGCAACTCTCATAGAAAAGTGGAACACACTTCAGATTTGTTGGTATGGTAGTTTACAGCTTAAGTTTCCTCTGACAGCGTTCAAAGGCCCTTCAGAGGTGTATTAGGAAGTGGGCTTTCTCTGTTGTGTTGCAGGGAAGTGGGAGGTGGACGAGATGAAGGACACCAAGCTTCCAGGGGACAAAGGGCTGGTGCTCCTGTCGCGGGCCAAGCACCACGCCATCTCCGCCCAGCTGAGCAAGCCCTTCGTGTTCGACGCCACGCCTCTCATTGTTCAGTACGTGAGTCGCTCGTCTGAGACGCTTCCTAGAAAGGGCACTGCCAGGGAGCACGCTTCAAGCTTATTATTCTCTCTAAAATAACTAGGAAATGGCATAAAGTACAGTAGGAATTTTTGGGAGAATGTAAACTTACTATTGATGCTTTTTATTATATAATTTCTGCCTAGTAAACTGTTTTGAAACAAACTGGCTATCCATCCTCCTGATAGCAAATGAAGATCTGTATTTCGACAGGAGATTTATTGGGGATCTGCATTGAGATTTAATCTTCTTCTACTTTAGCTGGATTACGTAGCAGTTCAAAAGCATTAAAAGATGGATTCTTTCTTAAAGATAAGCATATTACCTGTGATAGACAATAATAACCGAGGTGGGGGAAGAGAAAGTAAATTAAGAGATAAGATCTTTTAAAACACCCTATTTTGTGCTTTTTTTGCTGAAATTAGGTACGAGGTTAACTTCCAAAATGGAATAGAATGTGGGGGTGCCTACGTGAAACTGCTTTCCAAAACACCAGAACTCAGCCTGGTAGGTACTTCCTTCTCTGTGGCCGGATGGCCTCGATCATAATTCACAAATTACAGAGGAAAGGAAAACTGCGTGTGGGATCAGTGAAAGTAAGGCCTACTCCCTGTGGTTTGGGTATTGACTTGACACTAACGTGTTTTTTTATTTGAAATGTGAATGCCAGAGCTATAACCAAGTTTTTGTCTCATCTCTGGCTTCTGTTTTCACAATGTTAATTTGAGCAAGCCCACTTCCTTGTTTTATAAAAGCAGCAGTCGGGCTGGCCTCGTGGCCAGTGATTGAGGGAGTCAGCTCCCATACGGCCAAGTGCACAGTTCTAGCCCTGGCCTCAGAGGCTTGGAAACACATCAGGCGCATGTCTGTGCACGGCCGAATCCTGGCAAGATGGAGAAGTAGAAGGGATTGCAGCAGGACTGGGGCCCACTGGAAGGGCTGCCTTCTCTCCTCCCTCTCTCTCCCTGTGTCTGTGGCAAGCTCACCCACCCTCTGCAAACAGAATTAAAAAAATAAAATGAAAGAAGCAGTAACTAGTATATTACTCTTTTTGAAGTACTTAAATATGTTCTTATTTTGAATTTCCCAATAATTGCTGGTTATTTCTTTTCATAAAAGTCTTACACAGTAACGTGCTTTTCCTTTACCTGTAAATGTATTGCAATTTTATGAGGGAATGTTGCATGATTTTAAAGTGTCGCCGTTGGCCACTTTGATTAGTTACTTAAAAGAGCCCACTTGTTCTGAAGGACCAGTTCCATGACAAGACCCCTTACACGATTATGTTCGGGCCCGATAAATGTGGAGAGGACTATAAACTGCACTTCATCTTCCGCCACAAAAACCCCAAAACGGGCGTGTATGAGGAAAAGCATGCCAAGAGGCCCGATGCAGATCTGAAGACCTACTTCACGGACAAGAAGACGCACCTGTACACACTGGGTAAGAAGGCCCTCTTCGGGCTATGGCATGGCGCGTTTATCTTGCATTCAGTCCAACAGTTGTGCGTCTGGAAAATACCCGTGCAGCAAGTACTCCCCAGTACCCTCTCAGGAGTGATGAGCTTACTAAGCTTGTCAGCATTCAGAGAAGGCCCGTAAGCGGGACTGAGAACTGAGCTTTGAGGCGCTTTAAGTCTGTGCTGTCCCATGGAGAGTGTTTCTCCCCTTTGGTTATTTCTTGTCGACAGAATGTGAATTAGAACATTGAACATACAGTGAGAATACGTACAGTAGGGACCAGCTGGTGGTGGGGGTTAATACTATATTCCCACGTGGTGACAGTGCTTCGAGGCCTGGACGCAGTGACTGGAAAATCACACTAGGTACATGTGCCTGTGTACCCGAGAGGAGAATGAAGGAGCAGGTTCTGTGGTGTGGCCCGCCCGCCGGGGTGGGTTCTCACTTCCTCCGTGTCTGTCTGTCTGTCTCTGGTGAGTGCACGTGCTCTGCGGCAAAGCCTAAAACATTACACAAGGAAGGCACAGTTTAAGGGGCTTCCCTTAAATACCTGGACGATTGAGTTTAATCATTTGGAAATTGAAATAGGTTTTTGGTTTTGTTTTATTTTAATTTTACTTTATTTATTTTTTTTTTTTTGAGGTTTTTACCTGAGGGGTATAGAGACAGAGACAGCAGGCAAGTGAGAAATCGCCTCAGAGGGGACGGCCTCGCCACAGTCCCTGTTTCTCTGTTGTCCTCCCAGGATCTTAGACAGGCACACCCATGTGCCCGGTGTGAGACTGCAAGCCACCAGATCCAGGACTGGAACCGTGGGCAGCCATGTGGGAGTCCAGCGATGTAACTGCTGCACCATCTGCTGACCCTATTGTTTTTTTTTAAAGACTTACTTACCTTTATTTATCATTTTATTATTTTAAAATTTGTCATAGAACATGTGTCCTCATCGGAGGGCAGAATAAGCGACGAAGCAGGCCACCAGGTCTGAGACTTGAACTGCAGTTGGCATGTGGGAGCCTGGTACCTCAACCACTGTTTCACCTGCTGCCCTGACTTCATTTTTTCCCCTTGATTTGTAAAATTAAGGTTTCCTACTTGTTTGAGGTCATATGTATACACACCCACTTTTCTGAAGAGACTGTAATAACCTTTTATCTTTATTACAAAAGTAGCTCATTGGATATAGATGTTTGGAACATAGAAATAAGCAAAAAGATGACAGTTAAAATTATTTGAGATATCAGCACTGTGATATGTATTTGTTCATATGTGTATAGACAAATGTAACTTTCTTTTTTATTGGAGAGGTTTTCGCTATAGGGCGCGTGCGCTCACCAGACAGACAGAGTGAGACAGAGAGACAGAAAGCGAGAAATCACCCCCCAGGGGGGATGGCCACGCCGCAATCCCTTCTCCTCCATTCTCCTCTCGAGATCTTGGGCACGCACGCACATGCCCCCGGCATTTGAGTTTTAAGCCACCAGGTCCGGGACACGAACCGCAGTCAACTATGTGGGAGTCCAGCGACATAGCCATTACACTAACTGCTGGCTCCCAAATGTAAGTTTCTTAAAAAAGAATTATTTATTCAGTTATTTAATTTGACCAGAGAAAGATAACACATACAGACACAGAGAGAGAAAAAAGAGAAAGATCTGGGACTCGAACCATAGTCAGCCATGTGGGAGTGTCCAGCTCCTTAACCGTCATGCCACCTGCTGGTCCCAACATTTTTAAAGAGGTTTTTGCCTTAGGGTGCATATGCTTGCTAGAGACAGGGACAGTGAGAGGGAGAGCGACAAATCACCCCCAGGAAGATGGCACACCACAATCCCTCCTCCGTTCTCCCCTTGGGATTTTGGGCACATATGGACACGCGCCCGGCTTGTTTCAAGTTTCTGGGTCTGGGACACAGGCTGCAGCTAGCCCTGTGGGAGTCCAGTGATGTAACCGTAAGGGTGTCTGCTGGTCCCTGACTCATGCTCTCACTGCTCAGCATGTGAGGCTTCTTCATGAGATCGCATGTCTTCCTTGTGGTTGGCAGCCATGTGGTGCTCCTTGTGCGTGCTCCAGCCTGGCCATTTGCATATCACACTGAGGTGTGAGGTCCAGACTAACACAGATCCTCGTTAAGGTGCCTCTGTGGCATAAAAGTCCTTTCATTCTAGAGTGGACTTCTGAAATAGAGTCATCAGTGGGTATGTGTTTTGTTTTGTTTTTAAGAGAGAATTTTGCTGTAGGGCATATGTGGTTTCCTTGGAGAGAGAGACAAAAGAGACAGAAATCGAGAAATCACCCTCCCCCCCAGGGGGATGGCCACACTGCAGTCCCTTCTCCGACTCTGTGGGAGTCTCGCGACTTAACCGTTATGCCATCTGCTGGTCCCAGATATGTGGTTTAATAAAGTAAAATGAAAAGGTTTTTGTAATTTGAAATTTTCCCTTCCATTCTCTTTTCAGGGTCTTGGGCATGCATGCCCACTTGCCCAGTGTGATTTTCAAATTGCCAGGTCTGGGACTCAAACCCTAGTAAGGCATTTTGGAGTATAGCACCTCAACCACCATGCCACCTATGCCTCAATACCAGCTCTGTTAAAAATGAAGTTATGGACCTTTTCTATTGGGATGTGGTCATAGTAAGTAAACCTGTGGGGCCAGCAGGTGTCATGGAGGCTAAGGTGACTGGATCCCACATACCCAGGACAGGTGGCTTAAAGCTCATACTGGGTGTGTGTGTGCATACTCACAATCCTGAGAGGAGAAGGGAGAAGGGACTGCATCATGACCATCCCTCCTGGGAGATGATTTCTCACTCTCACACACTCTCTTTCTCTGTCCCTGTCTCTGGCGAGCACATGCACCCTATAGCAAAATTAGAAATTAGAAACAAAACTCGCTTGCTGATTAATGCGGATCCATTCGCACTACTGTGCTGAGCTGTTTTGAGGATGTTCAGTATCTGCTTATTTATTTCAGATCTTCAGATCTGAGTGGTGGGCTCCTCCAGCACTGGCCCGTCTGAGGGTGCCATGCTGTGTGCAGGACGTGACTGAGATCTGCATGACCCAAACACCTACTGTGTCCAGAAGGGACCGCCTCAGTCTCTGAAAAGTCCGGGACCAGCCTAGAGCTATGCAGTTGTTTCTGAAGGCTAGAACTGTCCTGCTTCAAATTTTTCTTTGAGCTTTAAGTAATCTCTTTTATCACAATACTGTACCCGCTGCTGGGGGGCAGCTGGATTCAGACGTGTGTCTCAGCATGCTACACGGAGGCCAGACACTTCCAGTGCTCGTCCCAGGGCCTCAGCACACCCACCTTTCCTTCATGGCTGCGGCAGCCATCCTGCGCTTGCTGCATGGCCTCCCTGGTGCCCAGGCCGCCGGCTCTGCACCACCGTGAGGCCAGCCCGCCCCCTTTTTAGGTTTCACCCTAGTGTGAGTGCGTCCACCAGAGAGAGGGACAGCGAGGGACGTGAGCAATAACTCCCTGGTGGGGACGGCCATGCTGCAACACTTCTCTGTTCTCCTGGGGTTTGGGGTACACATACCCAGCGTGATTTTCAAGATGCCTGGTTCAAGACTCTTAACAGTAGTCAGTCATGTGGGAGTCCAGTGCCTTGAGCCACCATGCCACCTGCTGGTCCCTAGTGTTATAAATCTTCTCTGCCATGTCTTGTCATTCCTAGCAACCTGTGGAACTAGCGTGTGTGTCTTGGAGGCCCGAGAGCCAGGAGTGCTCTTCCCCAGACTCTTCCCTTAGACGCGGTGCTCTTACTGTGGTGAAGGAGGCCGGGGAGGGCGCCGCCAGCTGTCGTTACTTCGACTTTCTCTTTTTTAGTCTTGAATCCGGATAACAGCTTCGAAATATTAGTCGACCAGTCTGTTGTGAACAGTGGAAATCTACTAAATGACATGACCCCTGCTGTGAATCCTTCACGTGAAATTGAGGACCCAGAAGACCGGAAGCCTGAGGACTGGGATGAAAGACCAAAAATCCCAGACCCGGATGCCGCCAAGCCCGATGACTGGTGGGTACTGCAGCCCTGTCCCGAGCGTGAGGGAGCAGTCCGAACACGCCTGGCATGGACTTCTGGGTCTGGTCCAGTAGGAGGGGCACTTTTCCCTCGTCGTCAGTGTAGTCAGACTCCAGAAGCCTCGCAAACCACGCAGCTGCACGGGGACTGGGGCCCGTCTGCTGTCCTGCCCTGCCACAGGCCTGCAAGGTGCTCACCTTGATGGAGTGTGGTGACTCAGGTTTCGTGACAGCCTCGGACCTCTTGGCTCAGCCAGTGCATTTCATCTTCACAGACACAGTTAAGGCTGATGTCCTGAAATGTTCAACTTTAATTTGAAAAATAACCTTTGTCCTATTTAAGTACTCAGCTCTCTGCGACAGATTGGGCAGTGGAGTACCAAGGCATAAAACACAGAGCTCTCGACCTGGGTGTTAGGCCGGAAGTACAGCTAGCTGGGGGTGTGCGAAGGTGCCAGGGACCAGCCTGCCAGGCAGCCCTAGGCTGGGCGGGGTTCCTGGAGCAGGCCAAGCCGTGGAGGCTGGAGAGGGAGTCGGGCAGCTGGCAAAGGTGTCTCAGGTGAAGGGACCACCATGTGCAGGGACAGAAGTGAGCTCGACGGATGGCAGGACTGCGGGCCGCGCGTCGGCAGTGACGAGAGATGAAGACAGGCAGGGCTGCGTGCTCACGCCAGTCAGATCTAAACCAGCCGGGCGCTTTCACAGAGCGCCGGAAGTGAGCAGAGCAGTAATCGGGATGGGTCTCCCATTTGATCAAGTGCCCCCATGGAGTTAAATTCTAGATCTTTTTCTTCCCTGAGAGTTGAGACTTCTACTCTTGAACTTTATGCCATGCTGGTGTAAGTGCTGTTTATCTGTGTATTTGGGGGATGTTAGATTTGAACTCAGCCTTTTTCTTCTTAAGAGATTTCTGCTTTAGGGTGCCTGTGCTCATTGGAGAGACAGAAAGTGAAGTAATGGGTGGGGTGGCTATGCTGCAACCCCTCCTCCAGTCCTCGAGATTTGGGGCACGCACACACAGTGCCTGGTGTGTGTCTCCAGCTGCTTGGTCCAGGCCTCACCCCGCAGTTGGCCCTGTAGCTGGAGCCCAGCGCCTGGTGTGAGTCTCCAGCTGCTTGGTCCAGGCCTCACCCCGCAGTTGGCCATGTAGCTGGAGCCCAGTGCCTTAGCCACCGCGCCACTTGCTGGCCCTGGCTTTGCAGTGTTTAATTGGCTGTTTTGTTTCGGGGTGGGAGTGGATGACTTTATAGCTTAAAAAGATCAGGTGACTGTCACACAGGCTCCCAAGATTCTCACACGAGTAACTTGAAGCTAACAGGCAGGACAGGAAGTCCCGACTGAGGCTAGGAGGTGTCCTTGCTGCTATCCACAGTCCCGCTGCCTTACAGCAGCCGCATGGGACATCGTCGGTGCGCCCTGAGCTCCGCAGCCCCACGGTTCAG